GAAAGCGACCGCTGCAGAGCAGCGGAGTTGGATCCCTGTATATTAGGAACAGGGAGTGTACAACTTCTACTTGAGAAAGCCAGGGTATAAACCGACAAAGGAATGCTGTGGCATCGCAGAGTTGAACGCCACAGGAGAGAGAGGAGATGCCTCTATGGATTCAGGCCGACCTGGTCCAGAGGGGCGAGAAGAGGATGATGAGTTGGAATTAGTTGATGAGGTTGAGAAACCCATCCAGATAAGAGCGCCGGAGGACCCAACCCCGGCTGAGATTGAAGAGCACGAGGCGACAGGCCATGTGCGGTATCGAAGTTGGTGCCGGCATTGCATTGCTGGACGGGCTGTGGGACAGCCACATCGGACGAGGTCCGAGGAAGAGAAGGCCAAGAGCCTTGTGCCCACAGTGACAATGGACTATACGTTCATGTCACGGGGCGGTGTGGAGGACGAGCGAGTGAAGCCGATCCTCGTAGTGAAGGATGAGAGGACACAGTCCTTAGCGGCGACCTTCGTGGACTCGAAGGGAGCGACGCCGTATGCAGTGAAGTTCGTGGCGAACTTCTTGAAGAACTTGGGACACCGCAAGGTGGTTCTCAAGTCGGATGGTGAGCCGTCCGTGGTAGCCTTGAAAGAGGCAGCGGCGAAAGAAACCGGCATAGACTGGGTTTCGGAAGAGTCGCCAGTAGGAGACCATCAGGCGAATGGTCTGGCAGAGAACGCCTGCAAGGAGATCAAGCGTCAAGTACGAGTTCTCCGCAGCGCGTTGGAAGAGAAGCTCGGCAAAGAGCTTAAAGATGATGATCCTGCATTGGCATGGCTGCCAAGGCAGGCGGGAGACCTGCTGAGCAGGTACAAGAAAGGTCAAGATGGCAGAACGCCTGAGGCCAGAAGATGTGGAAAGCAATGGCGAAAGCCAGCCATAGCTTTTGGTGAACGCCTATACTTTAGAGAAGTAGGCGAGGGAGTTCGCATCCTGAAAGAAGGACGCTATGTAGGACACCATGGCCGAACAGGATCCATTTTGGTGACGACGGCCGATGGCGTGCGCAGAGGCACAGGAATCCGGCGGCTGAGTTCAGCCGACCGCTGGGGCCCAAGTGATTGGGACCTTTTGCAGGGCTTACCGTGGGAGCACTCCGCGGCAAGGCCTGCCGGTGGGCAGTTGATGCTCGAAGAGCGCCTTGTGGTACCACCTCCCAAGGAGGAACGAGTGGCACCACCACAGCAGAGGCGAGTGTACATCAGGAGAGAGGATGTGCGCAAGCATGGAGCCACAGAAGGCTGCCCAGGATGCAAGTGCATCTTGGAAGACAAGAGGACGACCTTGCCGCACACAGAGGCGTGCAGAGCAAGGATCACTGAAGCAATGGAAAAGGATGAAGCAGGGCAAGCAAGACTTGAAGCCCACGCGAAGAAGAGGAAAGAACGGCAACAGCTTGACACTGTGAAGCCGAAAGTCGTGGCCGACAAGGACACCGACATCACGGCCGAAGACGCGGCCGGAGAACCCGAGAAGAAAGAAGTAGCAAAGAGCGCAGGGTCGGGAAGCCCGCCGCCAGCAGCGGTAGAGGGTGAGAAGACCTATCCCGATGACCCGAAAGAGAGATATGAGATGAAGAGACAAGCAGCCGAGATGGAAAAGAAGCCAGTGGCGAAAGCCAAGGTATCAACAGAGCCCAAGAAGAGAACAGGAGAACTTCGGATAGATCCACCTGGCGCAAAGGTCAAGCCGAACCCAGTTCAAGGAACAAAGAGGTCAGCAGAGACCGCCGTAGAAGACCTTGATCCCAGGGTGGAAGAGATCCAAAGAAAACTGATACGTTTTCACATGTTCCAGAAACACCACCAGCAGGGTGGAGGCCAGATGCAGCCAGCTTGGTAAAAGAGAAGGAGATCGCAAAGCAGCATCTGAAGAAGATCATTCAAGGAACCTATGAGGCGAATGGCATCGAGATCTCTGAGCAAGAGATTGGAGACATCGCTCATTTGAGCATGCAGATGTCAGCAGTAGATATCATGGAGATCTACTCGCCCAAAAGGTTCACTGCGCTTGCAGAGCGCTACAAGTTGCGACCGGGTTTTGCGGTCGACTTGAATGAAATGAAAAGTGACGGTACATACTGGGACTTGAACAAGTCTGAAGATGTTCGAGAAGTGCACGACATCCTTGAGAAGGACGAACCGGCGCTTTTGACTGGTTCGCCACCGTGCCATATGTTCTCACAGCTCCAGAACCTCAACTGGAGAAGCATGGCGCCGGATGTCCGGAGGAGGAAAATGGACGAAGCCGTCCACCATCTTCATACGAGCGTAGAGCTGTATGTCAAGCAGCGTCGCTCAGGGAGAAAATTCCTCCACGAGGCACCTTGGTCCGCAACTAGTTGGAAGGATGAGAAAGTTGCGGCCTTGGCAAAGGAAGATGGAGTGTTCATAGTGAAGGGTCCAATGTGTAGGTGGCAAATGATGGCCACCGACCGAAGAGGACTCCAAGGCACCGGCTATGTGAGAAAGGAGACCGGTTGGATGACCAATGATGAAGGGTTAGCCAGAGTTTTGCAAGGAGTCTGCTCGAATGAATCGGGCAAAGGACCATGGCACCGACACATCCATCTGATCGGAGGCATTGCTAGACAGGCCGCGGTATACCCACCGCAGCTCGTGAAAGCAGTGCTGAGGAGCCTGCGTGACACGCTAGCCGAGAAAGGTGAGTTGAACACCTTTGATTTGTTCGCAGCAGGCCCAGTCCCAGAGATGCCTCTGATGGAACCTGAGTTCGAAGAAGTTTACATGGATGATGTGAACGGCGGCGTTTTGCCAGCCGAGAAAGTGAAAGAGGCAAGACGCCTTGAGATGGATTATTTGAAAGAAAAGCATGGTGTTTATGTGACCCGGCCGAGAGCCGAATGTTTTGAGGAAACGGGGAAGCCCCCGATTCCAGTCAGATGGTTGGACACCAACAAGGGAGATCCAACAAACCCGAACTATAGGAGCCGTTTAGTTGTGCGTGAGATAAAGGCAAGAAAGACCAAAGAAGAACAATTGCCAGCCAACTTGCTTTTCAGCAGCACGCCCCCATTGGAGGCGATGAGACTGCTGTGCTCGTTGTGGGCAACAAAGAGGAAGTCCTACCACAACCAGCCGCTGAAGCTGGGCTTGTGGGACATCTCACGAGCACACTTTTATGGAACTCCAAAGAGAAAGATCTACATAGAGCTGCCGCCTGAGGACGAAGCCAGCAAAGATGGACAAACCTGTGGACTACTCGTGAAGTCAATGTATGGACACAGGACGCTCCAAACATCTGGCAGACGCACTACACGGAGACTCTGCAGAAGGCTGGTTTCCGCAGAGGCTTGTCAAATGCGTCAGTCTTCTACCAAGAAGCTTGGGACGTCAGAGTGATGGTGCATGGAGATGACTTCCTAGCGCTTGGAGACGCCCAACACTTGGAGAAGCTCAGCCAAGTCCTCAAAGATGCCTATGAGCTGAAATGTCTCGGAATTCTTGGAGACGAGGATGGAGACCGAACAGAAGCTCATTTTCTGAATCGGTTAATCCGAGTTGAGAAGAAGAACGGCAAAGGATCGATTGTGATCGAAGCCGATCGGAGACATGTTGATCTTTTGATCCAGGCATTTGGTCTGGAGAAGGCAAATGGTGTAGAATCACCAGATGTCAAGAAGTCGGCAGATCAGCAGATGCTGGAAAGCCGCAGTCCGCTGCTTGATAAGAGCGAGGCATCGAAGTATCGTTCAGCTACGATGCGCGCTGCGTATTTGTCCCAAGATCGACTTGATATTGGGCACGCAGTCAAGAACCTTGCTCGAGGTATGGTATCGCCAACAGAAGCCAAACTTGCTGACTTGAAGCGTCTCATCAGGTACTTGAAGAAATACCCTGATGTTGGGCAATGTTTTGGCTCGCAGCAGACGCCCTCCAGGTTGAGGGTGCAGGTCGATGCCGACCATGGTGGTGACGCTGTGACGCGCAAAAGCACGACTGGCATGGTTGCTATGTACGGCATGCGCGTGTTGAAACACAGTAGTAACATCCAATCCACTGTAACCCTTTCTACAGGTGAGAGTGAATACTACGCACTTGTGAAGGGAGGATCTGTGGGCTTAGGCCTCCAAAGCCTATGCGCAGACCTTGGTTTGGATTTGGGAGTCACCATCGAAGGCGATTCCAATGCAGCCAAAGGAACTGTGAATAGAGTGGGTTTGGGTAAAGCCAGACACATCCAGACTCGCTACCTATGGTTGCAAGAAAGGGTCGCCGAGGGCCACTTGAAAGTGCACCACGTTCCAGGTCTCAAGAACAAAGCCGATGTTTTGACCAAATCGGTTCCTGGGGTGCAGCTTCGCAAAACGATGGAGGATCTGCAATATGCATTTCTCAGCAAGCGAAGCAAAGGACAGTTAGATGTTTTGGAGTAAGGTCCCTGGCCAAGCTCCACTACCACAACTGAAAGTGGCTAAGCAGCGAAGAGTTTCACATTTTTACTTTTAAGCTTGAACTTGCGCAGCAGTACAGTGCTTTGCAAGAGGAGGAGTGTTTGTATGTACAGCCCATATATACTCCGCTAGGGTACTGCAGACACGTGACTCTTGACGTGTTTTGGCTCAAGGGAGAAAAGGCGTTCCGAAACGTCGAAACCTTGTTTTCATATATATGAGTTTCAAACGTAATAGGGCAGACCTGCAAGCTGCAGATGTATTTAAAAAATTAGCAGCGCAGACCTGCAAGCTGCTGATGTACTTCCGGCATACCTACAACCTGCAGACTTAAAAATATCAAGTGTAGTTTCGCAACACTCCCGGGAATATACAGACCAGTGACCTTCCATCAAGTAAATTTTCTTGGGCACAGTCACAGTCGTCGCACCTACCGTGCTGTCCTTGGCATGTCAGGCAAAAGGAATCGTAGTATATTCGTTCCGAAGATCCAAACCTACCAGTGGCATCCTCACAGCTTCTAGCGTCTGTGGCCTCGCACGCCAGGAGAAGCACGGCCTGAGTGACGCAGCAATAGCAGCTGCAGATGAGACACACAGCTGAAGATGGAAGTAAGCACGGCTTGGTGACACCAGTGTAGCAAGTGGTCTTCTAGTGTTGCAATATGGCGCAGAAGAAAGGACGACAGTTATGCAGGTTCTTTTGGAAACAGATTATCCCGACAAGAGACCCCAAACAGTGTGTCAAAGTGTATCTAGAGGTCCAAAGTCTGGACTGGAGGTGAAGAGCGAGGTGGTGGTGATGGTGGTGATGCTGGTGGTGGTGATGATGGTGGGGATGGCGATGATGGTGATGGTTGATGGATGGTGGGTGGTGATGGTGGTGATGGCCGTGGTGATGGTGATGGTTGACAATGGTGGTGATGGTGGAGATCGTGGTGATGATGGTGATGTTTGGCGGTGTGATGACGGTGGTGAGGGTGAGGGTGAGGGTGAGGGTGAAGGTGGGGGTGGGGGTGGTGGTGGTAGTGGTGGTGGTGGTGGTGATGGTGATGGTGATGGCGATGGCGATGGCAATGGTGATGGTGATGGTGCGGGTGGTGGTGTTGCTGGTGATGGTGAAGGTTTCTGCACACACCACGAAGTCTACACTTCAAGGTCCACAAAATGCTGCGTTTGTTTCCAAATCTGCACTTCCACAAAATACTGCGGTTGCCACGAAATCCACATTTACAAGTTGACCAAGTGCTGCGCCTGCCACGGTATTTGCACTTCAAAGTTCGCAAAATACTGCGTTTGCAGCGACATCTGCGCTTCGAGGTTCACACTTGTTACGAACAGTGAGCACCAAACCCAAAAATGTGCACGGTGCCACAACAAGAGCGCAGTGGAGCAGACGAAATGCACTTCGCAGATCTCGAGGTGAATGAGTCAGCGAATCAGCTGGGCGGGGGATGCGAGCGCCTTCAATTAGACACCCGGCCTTTACTACTACAAAAATTCCTAGTGTTACCACACTGTTTGGGGACTTATCAAATGTAAAAAAACGTGATGCTCCAGACGCATCACCTATTTTGATTTACTTTCCTTGCTGAGTTGCCAATTGTGCGGGTGAGAACTCACCAACTCAAGAGAAGTCACAGGCTCATGCATTTGAAGGGTTTCTTGCTGTCAAAACTTCATCAATCACACAAGAACATCCCACAAAACTTCCGTACATATCCTTTAGTGATGAGCCGCCATACATATTTCAGAATTGATCAACACCTTGCATAACTGATAGGGGCCAAGCCTATGTCGATACGTGCGTTGATTGAAGGTAGCTCATTGCAGGCACACACTGGAAACCGATAGGGCCAACCCGAATACTTTTGGCATTGGGGACACGAAAAAATTTGCCTGCCACTCAGAACAAATACATTTCACGGAGAAGTGGAAGTCAGCAGGCAGTCCTTTCTGAGGCGAGTCTACATTCCTATGGCTGGAATGGCACCTTGTCTTTGTTGGCAGTCCATACAGGCCAAGTTTGATTGCGCATGAAGGAACAAAACCTACTGTAAGAGGTCGCACAATCAGTGAAGTGGGTCTACAACCTTCACCAGTTTTGCTTGCACGGAAGTGACGTGCCAGATTCATGTTCTTGCCTCTGTGAAGATGGCAGTCTTGCTAGATCACTTTGTTGAAGCGTGACAAACCCCTTAACATCACTGAGTGCAAAATGCCATCAATGCTCCTTAAATCGGGCATTTGTAGTATGAGTCATGTCAGTCATTGCCATGCCAGAGCTGTGGGCTGAAAGGTTGGCCATGCTGGCCGCACAATGGACTTGCCCATGCAGTGCGAACTTTGTTTGGGTTTGCCCCTCCCCCCGCCCCCACTTGTGGAGCTTTGAATGGTGGGACTTCTCCTTGCTAATGCTAATTGTTTTCTGTGGGTAGTTTCCTCTCTTTCGGAAGCGAGTTTGGGCTTGTTCTTTTCCAGGTTGGTATTCAATTCGGTGAGGCTTTGACCTCTGTTTGGAGCAGAGCCTGACTTGTTCTTTTTTTCCAATCCGGCTGAGCCTTTTTCGCGTTGATTGGGTCACTCCACTTTTCTGTCAGTGGCTTGTTGGCGTAAAATCATCACAGGTCGGCCAGTGTCCACAAGTTGCACTGACTCGTATTGCGTGATGGTTCCACTTACGACCAGGGTTTCGAGGTCTAGACATGCGTTAGACGTTACAGATTCTAGCCAGGTCATGGTTGACAGAGAACGGCAGGGGCTGCAGTGATTGGGAGTTGGACTGACGGTAAGGGAGCTGCAGGGCTGCAGTGGTGGTCGTCAGTCGTTGGACTGGCGGATCAGCGTTACTACTATATATAATTGATTCGGGGGTGCTGCACGGCCTGCAGTGCTTTTTGTCAGTCATTGAATTGACGGGTCGGCTGGGTCCGCCATGCTGCTGACGGGTCCGCCCCCCCTTCAAAAGAAGGGGTGCATGCATCCTTTCCGCACATCCATAAATTTACTAGCAACTAACTCCAAAACAAGAAGCGCCTGAGACAAACAAATCAAGTAAGTCACCAAAGAAACCATGAAAGCTTCCAGTGGCCGTGAGTGGCTCCAACAAAACACCAAACAAGTGGGGAGATTCATGTTTCAAAGCACACAGAACAATTGAAAATGCTGCTCCAGCAGATGTGTTGCCCCGACGAAAGCAATATGATGTTGTGTGTACAAGTATATGGGAACAAAACGTATGCGCGCAAACAGTACAGAGGATGTTGTGCATACAAATATGCTTTATATATATAAATACGTAACAGTGCAGCTCCTAGGTTTCACAAGCATGACGCCCAAACGTTCAATCATAGCAAGAGCAACGCAGAGCAAGGCTGTTCGAAAGACAACACCGCACTACTCTGGAGGCTCCCACATTCTCAAGCAGCCTTTGGATCAGACTCACGTTTCAACGAACATGGATATGATATATCAGTATAGAACAATTAAAGATGCTGGTCCACCATATTTGTTTCCCGATCAAAACCGTATGATGTTGTGCACGAACAGTATTCACAGGCACCATGCGCAAGCGCTCAAAGATTGCAAAGAGCAAACCAGAAACACGCTACTCGACAAACAACCACATTCTGCACCCCGGTCCACACAATGTGATGTTGCACGTGTGTATGCATGTATGCATGTCCGTATGTTTGTGTGTAACGTAACGTAATGTAATGTAATGTAATGCGATGTATATAATGTAGTTTATGTATGCGTGCAAGAACACGCACGTAAACAGTACAGTTCCGAGGTTTCACAGGCATCATGCACAAGCGTTTACACATATCAAAGAACAACAAATGCCAGGCTATTCGGTCGGAACCCGCGCCAGTACCCAGCACCGACGCCCTGTCTTCAAAGTGCGCACAGCCAGCTGACAGAACCGGCACTAGCACCCAGCACCAGCACCGACACCCTGTCTCGAAAGCGTGCACAGCCAGCCCATACGTAATTGAAGTAAGACCCCATAGCTATCGCTATCTGCTGAAAAAGACAGAAACGAAGCGGTCTGCGGCATGACTGGTGGGCCCTTTCCCTTACGTTTTAAGCTTTTGGGGTAAAGAGTTTCCTGTTCGTGTCTTTGGGATTGAGCCAACTGGGTCACCTGAGTTTCCTGTTTGGGGTGAGCCGATAGGGTCACTGTCACACATTCATCACCTTATTTTCTATTTCCACTGCTTTCACTTCGTGTTCAGCAGCTTTGTTTGAGTAGAACCAATGGGATGCAAAGACTCATTGGACAATTGCTGGCATAGTTTGCACTTGTGAACACAGAAAGGCCTCAGATTGACCTTATGTGCAAGGTGCAAAGTCTCAATGTTGCAGTGTCGGCAGCCGTGGTCCTTGCCGAGGCAAAACCTGGTTGGGGTAGGTTTTCTTGTTTGGATAGCTGGTTGGAAGGCTTCCAGGCTTTGGACAAGGGCCGGGCCGGGGAATCCGGTGCAGGTGGCTCGGCAGGCGCGAAGTGAAGCGGCCCCTATAGAGAGTCGGTGGCGCGGCTGAAGAGATGTGGGGGGTCGAGAAAGACGGAACTGACAAGTGAGGTGGGGAAACAAACAAAAACACAAAAGGTCTAAAGAAATTATGCCAGCATAGACCCCAGATAGCTCGTGAAAATGCATGGACCCAAAGGCGGCGCCCTGCAGCGGCACCAGCGCCCAAGCTCCCAACCGCACACAGCAGCGGCGCCAGTGCCATGAGCGCCCAGCCTCCCAAGCACGCAGCGGCGCCCTGCAGCGGCACCAGCACCCAAGACTTAAGCTCCCAAACTCGCACAGCAGCGGCACCCTGCAGTGGCACTCAAGCTCCCAAGTGCACAAAGAAAGCAGCAGCAAACAGACCAGCGGCACCCTGCATCGGCACCCTGCACCCAAGATCCCAAGCTTACACACTGCGGCACCCTACAGCGACACGAGTGCCCAAGCTCGAGAAAGCACGCGCGCAGCTCTTCCCATATTGGAACAGCAGCGGCACCCTGCAGCGGACCAGCACCCAGGCTCGAAAACGCGCCCGTGCAGCTCTTCTTATAATTGAAGTCAGAACCCCAATAGTTCACGCTATCTGGGAAAACACTTGAAAAATAAGGAAAAATATAAAGGAAAAACATAGAAAGGACACTGGAAAGGACCAGAAACTTGATCGAAAGCGGTGATGATTCTGCAAGGTGCGGTAGGTGCAACCACTCACGAGGCTGAGCCCAGCAACTGTTTGCAACACCCCCTGATACTCCATGTATGGCATGTTTAGCTAGATTGGGGCGGCTTTAAGAGAAGAACAAGGACTAAAGAAACACACATACGCAAAGCAAGGTCTATAAAGGTGACATGAGAGTGATGAGCGTGATGCACTCTGTGAACGACATGTGCAAGACGCTTCGCAAGCAAGCTCCAGATGGGTATATAAATGGATGATGTTGTTGTCTTTAGACAGTGATTCTAGCTTTGTGCTCCAAAAATGTGCTTCCAAGTAGCTGCGTGGTGACAGTGTTTTACGAAGTTGCAAGTCTCCGAGTTCCTGTCCTTGACCAGTTTGGACACTGTGAAACTTGAACAACTCAGGGCTGACAGATTGTTTCGGCACATGAGCCTTTGTCAGAGCTAGATGACACGAAAGGGCCTATTGTATACAGTAGTTATAGGAATTAGCAGCACCTAGGAATGTAGTGTAGCGAATGAGTAGGGATGCGATGTTATATCATAGTTAGTTAGCTAGTTAGTTTCTCGTTTGTCTCTAGTGTTTTGCTATCAAGCCTTGCCCACCCTCCCCTGGGGGGAGGGGGTGTAGGGACATGCCTGGAAAATGGCATGGGAGAAAGTCCCTCGAAGGTCCCACGAAGGGGACCTATATAGAGGGCGAGGTTTACGACGATGGAGGCGACCCACAAGGCACAGTGGTCTTGTGGGTGAAGCGCCTGTTCGCCCCGGGAGAGACCGGGAGGACTTTGCATGGGGACGTGGTGACTGCTACCGATCCATATTACAGATGGTGGCTTGCGAGTCCAGACGGGGCAGTCACCACGGTGGACGGAGCATATCATATATGCAAAGGTCCTCCCGCCGAATGTAAGGGCGGAACAGGAGAACATGTGGTCCACTTAGGCAAGTGGCGACAGTGGAAGGAAGAAGAGCTCGTTGACAACAGCGGAGGGATCCTAGATGAGGATACGCATGGACATGTGCAGGCATATTTCAAAAGAGTCCCAAAGGAAGGGCCAGGCGCTGGAGGAGCTGGTGATTTGCCCTGGGATGACCCAGGTGATGATGAAGAGGATGGAGAGGAAGAGAAAGGGAAGAGCGCGCCAGGGCCGTCCGGGAAAGAAAAGGCTGCAATGAAGAGAACGACAGAGAGGAAAGGGTCGGAAGAAGAATTGGTGAAGAAAAAGAAAAGGCTGACAGAGTTGGCCAGAGACCTCAAAGCCCTGAAGGCGGAGGTGAAAGCAGCTGAAGTCACCGAGGAAGAGAAGAAAGGTGCAGGCAAGAAGGAGAAGAAGGGACGGAAAAGAACGAAGAGTGGAAAGGGAAGCCCTCCCTTTTCAGGTGAGATGCGAGGAAGCGCGCGGAAGGTGAAGACTAGCCCGGAACCCGGTGGATCGTCTTCGGAGCCGGATTCCGATGAGGGCTCATCCTCTGACAAGAGTTCAGGGCGCAACCAAAAGCGAACTTCAAGAAGCAGGGGAAAGAAGAAGCAGAGGAGCAAAGGACGGAGTTCTCCTTCAGATCCCTCCAGGTCACGGAGCCGAAGGAGGCAAAGCCACAAGAAAAAGAAGAGAGGCAAAAAGAAGAACAAAAGGCCGAAAGACAGAGGGCCCTTTGGAGTGGCCGAATCAGATGAAGATCCCGACAGATCGGAAGCCGAGGATGATTCGGAATCGGATTTTCAAAAGGCCCCCGCGGGGATGACGCTGTTTCTGAAGTTGCAGCGTTACGCTCAGCGGCACCCCGGCCGGCTCGCGGCCCGTCTCCTCCATACCATGGGGGTAGCGGGGCGCGTCCCCGTGGGGGCCTTGCGACAAAAGGGGAAGAGCATTCTCAAAAACATCGAGGCAAATGCAGTGTCCTACTACAACGTGGCCTTGGTCCCGAACCTGAAGGCGAAATGGACTCCACGATCCGGGAGAGAATTGAAGTACCTCACAATTCTCCTGGACCTACTGGTCGAGAACAAGTCAGCGCAGGCTGCCGACATCATTGCCCAGAGGATCAAGGCTCTGGAGAAAAGCGTGCAAGACAACAACAGTTGGGTGAGGGCACGCTTCCTCGAGCTGGTGGAGCCAGACGACGTAGCCCTTCTGGACAGGGGGGAGGAGGCAATGATCCAGAAGGAATTGGAGCGGGAGGAAAAGCTCCGAGGACCATCCGAATGGAAAGGAAAAGGCCATTGGAAGGGCAAAGGGGAGCACGAATTCGGAGCCAAGGGCCAAGGCAAGGGGAAAGGAAAGAGCAAGGAGAAGGGAAAGGGGAAGACGCCGGCCGAGGACGCTGCCGAGAGGAAGTAGATGGTGGCGCCTTGGCAAACCGAATCCCAGCGGAACCCAGTGAACCCCCAGACCCCAGAGGGGAGCTTCAGCGGAAGCGAAAGTCCGAAAAGGATGTTGAGTCGCCCGAAGGTGAAGTGGCATCTTCGGAGGAATATGAAATTGAAGAGGAGGCCTTGAACAGGTTGTGGAAGAAGCATAGACAAAAGTTTGAAAGAAAAATGGCAGGGTTTCTTGCAGAGGAACGGGATGCATTGGAAGTGGCCTGGCATGTGCTGGAAAATGCTGGGCATCTCAGGACAAAGTTTGGCAGGTTTCGGACGACTTTGGGTCAAAAGGCCACAGCCCAAGATGCCCCTGAGGGCCCCGATCTCCTGCCTATCTCGTTAGATGCCCTAGAGCTACGCCGGGACATTCAGTCGGAAGTTCGGGCGTGGGTCATATTGATGGCTTGGGCATTGAACTTCTTGTACTGCACAGGCTGGGAGCAACCACGCCACATGGATCATCCCGGGAAGCTGACTACGGCGCAAACCAAGATGGTTGATCAGCACTTGGTGCCCGCGGTGAGGCGCATGTGCCCGAAGGGATTGAAGATCCCATCTTATCAGAAACTAAAGGAGCAGCTTCAGAAGAAAGGCTACGGTTATGATGGATCTAGTTGGGTGGTGATGGAAGACCTTGCAGCCGACAAAGTGATTCCATGTTGGCCAAACAAGGGGGAAGCTGCCGTTCAGCCCATCACCAAGTTTTTACATGGTGACACAAAGGAGATGGTAAACAAACCACTGCTCACCATCCTTCCGGCGGAAGAATGGCCAGAGACGGTACCCCAGTCGTATGTGCGGGCCTCGGATGCCGAGTGGGAGAGGCTCGTGGCAGAGGGGTATCAGCTAGGTCTTTTTCAGCCTTGCCCGGAGGAAGAGATCTTGAGAAGCCCCTCCGGTGAAATGATCCTGAATGGGGCCGGAGCAGTCCCAAAAGAGAAGAATGGCAAGATCTTGCAAAGATTTATATCTATTTTATGTCCATTGAATGCGGTGAGCCGCAAAATTGAAGGAGATGAGTCGACCTTGCCCTATGTGGGCCAGGTGGGGCTTTGTGAATTGGAGGCCGAAGGAGCCATAGTTATAGACAGTGAGGATTTGCAGTCGGCCTTCAATTTGTTTGAGATGCCACGGGGATGGCGTGGCATGTTCGTGTACCGCAAGCAGGTGAGAGGAGGAGTCCTTGGCTTGCCTCACGATGAGATGACATGGGTGTCGCTGAGGACGGTGCCTATGGGATGGCTCTCCGCAGTGGGGATTGTTCAACAAGCCATCAGGACTCTCGCATTTGAGGAAGCTGGACTCCCCAGACAGTTTGAAATTCAAAAGAACAAGGAGCTCCCTGAGGGAGAACGCTTCTTACTTTACTTGGACTCGGTGGATCAGTTGAGGCCGGTCAGCCAAGCAATGAGAAAGGTAGTGGAAGGACAGGCGAGCCCTGAGCACCAGCGTTTTGAAGAGGCATGCCGGCGGTGCGGATTGCCTACCAATATGAGCAAGCGTTTGGCGGGGGCCCTAAGAGGAACCCTACAGGGGGGTCTCCTTGATGGAGAAGCAGGGGTGTTCATGCTGCGCCCGGACAAAGGGGCCTTTACAATCGAAGCTTGCATGTGCCTGCTGGGATCCCGGACATGGGAAACTAGAGTGGTGGCAGGGCTCACAGGGCGATTGGTTTTCGCCGGTGCATTTCGAAGGCCAGCCATGTCACTGATGAGCGAGGTGTTCCATTACTTCGGCAGCAAGCCTACATCCAAAGTGGCAAAAGATGATGCCTACGATGAGGTCTTGCTGGCGATGGCCTTGCTGCCCTTGAGTTTCACAAACCTCAAGGCCTCAATCTGTGGAAGAATCTATGCCACTGACGCCAGTCCAATGGGGGCCGGGTCGTGCGTAGCCGAGCGCTTCAAGCGCCCGTTTGGGACCACAAGCCCAAATGACCTGGTGTGTGGGGTGTGCCGGACAGAGCTCACGGATGAGACAGCCCGTGGAGAAGACTTGGCCTGCCCCGCGATGTGCGGGTGCAAACTTTGCTCTTTGGAGTGCTGCTTGAGGCACGCGCCTTATTGCCCGCATCAAGCGGTAGGAGTTCCATTGTTTTCGGAGAGGTACAGTGGTCCAGAGGCCAGATTGTCGAGAACCATGTTTAAGGCTGGATTCAGAGTGGTTGACCCCATAGATTACAAGTGGGACAGCACTATGGATGTATTCACGGAGAGAGGAAAAGAATGGTGGGCCCATGCCGATGCATCAGACCCAACCCTTGAGCATCACGCTCCGGACAGCAAAACCTTTTCAAGGGCGCGAGGTAGGCCCTATCAGTTTGCCGGAAAATGGTATGAGGGGCCAGTGGCACTGAGGGATGAAAGCCACGTGATGGGGTTCACTTACCTAGCAGCGCATGACGCAGCAGCGGTGAGGAAAGGAAACAAGATGGCAATGAGATCCATCGCGAGGTGCAGGACCCTCCACGAAGAAGGTCGCTTCTTCACCTTGGATCACCCCCGGCGCTCTTGGATGTGGTATACCAAGCCAGCCATAGACCTGGCAGGTCTTCCAGGAGTGAGGATGGCGATCTTCTCCCATTGCTGTTATGGGGGAAGGCGCAAAAAGTGGACGAGCTTACTGACCAACAGCGAGACCATCTACCAAGCCCTTCACAAGCCTGTTTGCCCCCACGGAGATGGGGAGGATTACCCGCCGTACTGGGATCAGCAGCTTGGCCAGGTGGTGTTCCCAATGGAGCAAGAAGCAACATACCCCTGGGGTTTGTGTGAGGAGTACGCCAAAGCAGCCGTCAATCTCATGAACCTGAGTGAGCACAGGGAAGAAGCCCTTGCCGAAGTGCGCAAGGTGAAGATCAGAGAAGACCTCATGAAATATGACCGGCTGCAAAGTCCGGGCTTGCAGGAAAAGGTGGTCAGTGGCATCTTGCATATGAAGAGGACCATGCAAATTGGGTTCGAAAAAGCTCATCTACAGCAACTTCTTCGCCTGGGTCACTATCGTGGCACAGATGTCAGGTTGGCCGTCGAGGAACAGGGAGGACGGCAACTGTTTCCGTACCCAGCTTATAGATGGCTGTGGCGTGACGTGCTGTCATTCAGATGGCGACAGGAAGGGCATATCAATGAGTTGGAATTTCAGGCCTTTTTGGCCCACATTCGCCGAGTGCTGCGGGAGCCTGACATGCGCCACAAAAGGGTGTTTGTGGTCGTGGACAGTCAGGTACTCTACTATGCGCTCGGCAAAGGGCGCTCTCCATCCACTAGACTCAATCGAGTCCTGCGACGTTTGGCGGCTATATCCCTGGCAGGCGACCTGTATACTTTACCGATTTGGACTCTGTCAGCATGGAACTTTGCTGACAGACCTTCCAGACGGTGAGGTGATGCCTAAGGCCCCACAGACACTTCGCTATGCCGGGTTAGCCAAAAAGACAGTTGCAGCCTATCGTCGCGCCCTATCAGCTTTCTTTTCGTATCTTGAAGATGAAGAGATTGAAATGCCCTCAAAGTTTCACCACCTTGATCGCTTGATTGCCCAATATCTGGAGTCCCTATACTTGGACGATACCCCAATTTCTTACGCAGGGCATTTGTTGAGTGCCTTCCGCCGCTTTGTGCCCCAGTCGCGGTTCAAGATCCCTATTGCCAAACAATGGTTCTCAAACTGGACCTCTGAACACGTGCCCAGGCAGGCAATTCCCATGCCAGCCAATGTGGTATTGGCCCTTGCCGGGGCAGCGCTTGAGGTGCGGGAGCATGCGCTTGCCGCTTTGTTGCTTCTTGGGTACAAAGCCCTCCTGCGAACCAGTGAGATGACCTCCCTTAGGTTTGATCATGTCAGCTGGAAACCAGGGGAGCCCAATGTGGTTATCGCAATTCCGTTTTCGAAGACTTCGCCCAAGCGCCCCCAGAGTATCTTGATTCGTGACCCTTGGCTACCTTTTTTACTTAGCTTCGCCTGGGAGCGCTCTGAATCTGCTTTCATGTGGGATGGTTCGACCCCGGCCTTCCGTCAGGCCCTCCGTTTGCTTTTAGATACTCTAAACCTAGCCTCGGTTGGCTTTACTGCTTACAGCATCAGGCGTGGAGGAGCCTCTCACGCATTTGCCCAGGGAGTTTCTTTCGACTCTCTGGTTGAATTGGGGCGGTGGAACAGCGTCAAGACCGCCCGTTTATACTTGGATTCGGGCCGAGCAGCACTTATTCAAATGCACTTTCCACCTCACGTTAACATGCAGCTAGCTACTTTTGTGGCAAAGGCCACTGTTTTTTGCAAGCAACTTCGTCAGGGGCGCAGGCTCAAAATGGTCTTGTGAGTGCCCGCTAAATTGGGTGTGCCAGCAAGGGGAGGTTAGGTGGTTGGGCGATGCCCTTACCAGGCTCCA